GGGGCCACACTGCTAGAATGAGATGATGGGACCGTTGTGTCTCAAACATAAAGGAGAACTCCGAGGTTAGGACTTCCCCCCCATAGTTCTCCCATAGTCACAAACTAGCGTCCTCCCGTCACCCGAGGCTCAGTATATAGGGAGCTGCAGCTCGCGGTATACTGAGACGCCGCAGCCGGGACAATTATGTCTGGCTCCGCCCAGTTGCGTGAGTGACAGCTGGCTCCGCCTATCTAGAGGCTGTACCCGCCCCTTCCCCCGTCCGTTCCGCCAGTCAGCGCTGGCGGATCGGAGGGGGGAATCCAGCCCCTCCCCCTGTCATGGCAGAGAGCCGTGACAGGATCGAGAAGTGAGCGAACGCCGGTATGTGTTCCCTCACCTCCCGATCTACTGAGCCGACCTGTGACAGTGTCATTGTCACAGGTCGGCTTAGAACTATGAGGTGAGAGGAAAGCCCCCTCCCCCCCCCATCATAGTTCTCCTTTACCAAAGAACAAGAGAGACTCTGATGATATATTATTACTGGAAGAACTTCCCGATATTCGGTATTATTATTATTACGAGTCATCTACAGAAAAGGAGGGAAGATGTCTGTGCGTCTTATGGAGCGAATCCCCGTCGCTCGGGGACAGGCAGTTTCGGGGCGCCGGGCGAGTCGTGTTTTTTTTTTTTGTACCGTATTTGCCGGCGTATAAGACGGGTTTTGAAACCTTAAACCATCCCCCCCGAAAAAAGCCTGCACATATATAAATCATCCATGTAGTCTGCAGACTTATCTTCTCGAGACTGCAAATCTGTGTAGCCCCCAAGTTCTTAAGCCCTCGTCCACACCGGAACGTTTTGTGGCGCTTTCTACGCTCGACGAACGCTCGACAAAACGCTCAAACATCTAAATCCCATTGTATTCAATGGTCTCGTTCCCACCTCAGCGCCCGCCCGTCCCTAACGCGCTACAAAACGGCCCGCGCCTGAAAACGTACCGGTACTACTTTGGGCCGTTTTGTAGCGCGTTTCCATTGGGATACAGCCAAGTAGCCTTCGGAAATGCGCGTCAAGACGCGCATATGCAATACGCCGAGGTGTGAACGAGACCTTAACCCTGTCGGGGGAAAAAAAAAAGGTTTAGTCTGCTCGATGAGAAAGTTTTTTTGCTTTTTTTCCGACTGACGACGGCACCGATGTCAGAAAAAAAAAAAGAGCAGAGAAAGCGCTTCTCTCCGGGGTGGCCGGAAGCCGCTAGGCGACCCCCGGCAAATCGTCATCCGACCCCCAGGTTGAGAACCGCTGCTGTAACTCAAGGGTCAAGCTCAGGTTTTTGTCTGATAAAAGATGAATGCAGTCGACGAGACGAATTTGTCATCAGCGTTCCTCCTGGTCTGTTGTCACTTTGTGTCTTATAAGAAAAACGATACCCGCTTTGTAAGGCCCCATTCACACGTAGCGACATACCTTGGCAGCGGCCGGGATAGCGCGACTTTCGGGGCGACGATCCAGCGACGGTAGCGCCACCTTCTCCGTCGGGCTCCATAGAAAAAAAGCAAAATCGTGCCAAAATCCGCCGAAAAAAGGGTCCTGTAGAAGCGACTTGCGACGCGCGACATGGAGCTAAGACATCTCCATTGACTATCATTAGCCGGCGACTTCTCGCGATATCACGCGGCAAAAAAAATGCGCCATATCGCGGCAGAAATCGCGCGATCAGCCGCTACATGTGAACGGGGCCTAAGAGTTGAACAAAAGTTTTGTGCCAATGCTGATGAAATGATGTGTCAAGCTTTCTGCCTAATTTTGCCGTATGCCTTATACACGTTTCAAATGTTAACTAAAAAGCAGAACAAAAAAAAAAAACATCCCCCAAAAATCGGTGGTCGTCTTATACGCCTTCTACATACGGCATACCCTCGCTGAGCCAATCCCGGCAGGCTTACATTGCTCGCCGTGATTGGCTCAGCGGAAGACGGAGGACACAGCGGGGGATCGTGGACAAGGTAAGAGACTGTTATCCCGAGTGTGGCTCGGGGGG